AAAAAAAAAAAAAAGAAACATTAAACTGCTACTAGAATATAATTGGTGGCTCAAGTGACGAAGGTTGCATGTATTTTGTCATAATTCTCCTAACCAGCGACTTTAAGGTTGATTTAACTTCTCAATTTCATAATATTTTGATTGCTTTAAATTCATCATGCATGGACTCATCTAAAATAAATGGAAACCCATAATTTTGTCCTTTTTCAAAGAAAATAATTTGAAGAAAAAAAAGCAGCTTATTATGACTGTTAACTGTCAATAACCAAGCATCAGATTTCAATAGTACTCTTCATTTTCTGTTGGTTACAGGGAATTAGTTTCCTTTAAAAAAATCCTAGAAGGCCTAGATTCTAGACAGAAAAACAATCCCAGTACAGGGAGAGGGGGAAAAAACAATGTGGGGAAAAAAAATATTGCATGCTAATACCTGCTAGACAAAAAGGTCAAAACTAAGGTCCCTTCTTATTTGAGAAAGGAATGTGAAGAAGGGCCTGCAATCCTGGAAGGATCAGAAGAGCTATCCCCGTCCCATTCTCCTTCCTTGTCATCAATATTCCTCACTAGATTTATAATCTTATTTAGTCTGCAAATTATGGAACCAAAATCATAGACTTGAAAGGGTTAGGGCTGTATCACAGCTCAAGCCTGAATGAGAACGCTAGGCTAAATAACGGGGAGGGGAAAGGAGGACTCCTGAGGAATGCTGGGGGAAATCTATTAAACATCCTTTAAAATATATAGCTGAGATCCCAAGAAAGTAAAGACAATACTCAGGGTCTAAAAGTAAAAAGAGGACTGAAAGCCAAAGCAGTAAGTCCCCAAGATGTCACTAACATTATCCCGTAGGTCTGCTGGTCACAAGAGCTTGGGTTTTAATGCCAGAAAGAAGCTGAAGCCTCAAAACCCCAATGACATAGGGAACTAAAGAAGAGGACTGCCTACAACTAGGATCCCTGAAAAGCTGCAGCTGCAATAAAAGGAAATCAAAAGAAAGAAAAAAGGCATCTACTGGCATAGGAAGTTGTCTCAGGCAAACTCCATGGGAATAAATCTGTACTCTCCAAGAATCGATATTCAAGACCCTACCCTTAGGTTCATCTAGGATTTAAACTTAACACTATCACCTTAGTATGGGAACAGTCTAGCCAAGAAATTAACATAAAAAGTGATCCTGAAAAAGATACTCCTGGGTCACTTGAAAGAAGCAAATTCAAAAACTCCCCAGAGACGGTCTGGAACATAGACAAAATAAGTACTACCAAAAATTTTTAAGCATTGAAGATGTGCACAAAATAAAAAATTTGAAAGAATGAACTATAAATGAATGTCATCAGGAACTACAAATAGCAGTAGCTGACCTCCCCAAAACATCAAATAATATAATTAACTGGTAGAAAGTATATTGAACATTATTAAAAGTATAAAATAGGAAATTAGGTGTCTGGCTTTGTACTAAGTCAAATGGATAGACTATAAGGTTCAATGGAGAGTGAACCATCAGATTCATACATCTGGACAGCTCGCTGTGATAAGTATATGGTGCAACGGTCTAAAGAAGCAAGACTGAAGATAGAAAGCTGTCACCGTAGACAAAGAAAGAAGTAGGGACTGACCTACAGCAGGGATGGGTCCCAAATCTAAACACAAAATTCTTTTGTTTCACATACACCTTACACACAGCCTGAAGGTATTTTTAAACAATATTTTGAATGTACTTGCATTTTGACTGCAACACAGCATATGAAGTCATTGAACATACAGATTCATAAGTTATCAGAGAAAACAATGTATAGGAGTAAAACTGTCCAGGGACAATTAAGACAAAAGATGAAAAGCAGTCAGCAATGGACTAAACCCTGGAGAAGCCTGATATTTATGAGATGGTCAGAGGACAGAAACAAAATCCAACTCAGGGACAGCCAGAGATTTAAAAATGATAGGAACACACATTCACAGCTATTTACAGGATAAAGAACTTTTTTTTTTTTGGCTTAAATTCTTTTATTGGTACATTTTAGGTATTCAATATGTTTACATTTATCATTGGGTACTTATACCCAGTACATGATGTATCTTGGTTATTTTTTCCCCATTACCTGTCCTCCCTTCAACCCCTCCACCCTTCCCTATTTACAAAGACTTTGTTTCCATTTTTTCCTTTTCTCATAATTTTTCCTTTCCCTTCTTTCC